TTCAGAATTAATGAAGAGGAATATGTTTTTGGAATCAGCACCTCCATACRTGTGTAGATGGATAAAGGATACAACAGTCCCTCTTCAAAAATTTCTCTCTTCTGAATCCACATGATTTCAGTGCTGATGCTGTCTTTGTGCATGCTGCGTCTCCAGCAGCATTTCATATACATCTGCATTTTTCTTGCATTTTGGAATCAGACTGGCCTATTTAATCAGCCCAGGAGTTGATGTGGGGAAAACTGCAGCACTTTACAAGTGTTTGTTTTTGTTACTAACGGGAAGACAATGCTAAATTAGCAATTAAAAAAAAAGAAAGAAAGTATTCCAAAGCGAATTGTGCTGCATACTGAGATGCTCATTAGAAGATAAAGGAAACGTGAGTTAAAGAAAATAGCTAGCAAGTAACAAAGACGCCACTCCATGCATATATACGATTTCTCTCCAGTCACAGATACTAACTGCAATGCAGAGGTCCACAAAGCAGCATGTGGCTGCCAGACACCGAGTCTCCAAGAGTCATTAAGAGCCTTTTCAGTCATAGAGGAACCAACCTCCGTCCAACGCTGATGACTGGACATTGCTGTCCTGATGCCCAAGGCCACCATCTGCTGTTCACATGAAGGAGGTGCACACGTACATGTACATACAGCTACTCCACAGCTTCATAGCTTGTCATATCCACCGGTTGCAAATGTCTCAGTGAGCTACCAGGACAGCATGTTTGAGCTGATTCTGGGTTCAGGGTGGCTCTTCTGGCACGAAGAACAGAGGAACATTATCTTATCTGTCTCTCTYGTGTGAGAAGAGCCTCTTGGCAGCTAAGACCAAGCATTAAACTCTATATGTCTTTAGCCTGGCTTCAAAAGAGAAAACCAGCCACAGTCTCTCAGTGCTTTGGGGCAACGCAGGCTAACCCCAACCAAGTAAACATGACTCTCTATTTTCCTAGACTGTACTATGATATGTAATTGCATGAAGAACATGAAGCCCCTATAAAAGTAAGGTATTGTATACCAAKATTAATTTATTTCTGAAGTGTATGCTACAAAGGGGAAGCTGAATATACTCCAGACTTTCTGTGCTCTGTGTGTTTTAGGCAATTACGAAAAATACTTTTTCTAGAATATTTTTCTAATTTAAACACTTTGAGCTGCAAAACTAGAAAGAATATAGCAGTTTACCCAGGGATGAAAAAAAAGACAACCAATCTTGAGTAACAGATATATGGAATAGGTGGCAAAATGCTCAAATGGTAAACTCTTGAAAAATTCTCTCAGGCTAAAGTCTGACAGACCCTGTAAGTGACTATGACTTCTAAGGTCTTGCAGGGTTCTAAATGAAGGTGTAAATTGCCCTTAGACATATGCAGGGATTCATAACACTACACTGCAAGCCCAGAAACTTTATGTTTTTACAGAAGCTGTGGTATAAGTGCTGAGGATCCTTGTGTATCTGCTACCCCAATTAAGGACATCACACTACTGTCTATTTAAAAATATTAATGAAAATGACTGATGAACAACTGTTACGTTTTAAAAAAAATAGTATTACAAGCATTCTCAGCTTCCATCTATACCTTACATAGCTGCTCGAAAAGCACTTCTGGGGGTTTTACTGCATTATATCCGGCAGAGGGTAGCAGATGCTTGATGCATTTAGCAAACTGGAGCTGCCATTTCGTTCGGTGTTCATATATGAATTTGTTTTAATTATATCTTATTATCTGAAACTGATTAATTTCTGCAGACACACAGGTTAATTCATACCATCCAAAACCAGTTTATTGCGCACAGTATCTAGTTACTTCAGGCAGATGAAGACAGAAAAGTAAATTACTGGAGAGCACTGTAACTCATTACAGTAATACATACTTGCATCTCAGACATATTAAGACCTGTGTTATAAGTCACACCAGACTGGCTAAATCTTAACTGAATATCAAGTTTAGCTGATTCAATTAAAAGTAACATTGCTGGATTAAGAGAAAAAAAATACAACTTTTTCAAGGAAATACATAGTCTTTGTGCTTTGAGAGTTGCTTCACGCTYCTAATTTATTGAATGGAAACAAATATGACATTTTGTCTAATCTCTCAATCTATCTCTATTTCCCTTCTCAAAAAACACTTTGTAGGTCTCCCTTTCAGTGGCGAGAGGCATCTACTGCTATTGCGGGCTTTCCTTACCATCATGACATGACCCTGCATCACCCCTGGTAGGTACCCAAGCACCCTTCTTTACTCTCAAAGTATGAAACTTTCCAATAGGCTTGAAACAGCAGTAGACTCTGTGTCTTCTCATTTTCTTCTCAGAGAGTTTAGGAGTTTGTCTTTCATTTGTCTGGACTACTCATGATCTGGGAATGCACAACACTGCTGGCCTTGAAGAACAGYAGCTAAGCAGCACAGCAGCCTTTCTGAAAGCCTTCTCAGCTTTGTCTCTTTTGCAGTAAGTACATTTTTTTTTTTCAATGTTATATAGGTTCTTCCAACAATTTATACAGCAGAACCTGTCTGATGGCCCACAAGATAAAAACATTATACTCTTGAGAGTAAAAACTGCTCTACTGTGCAGAAGCTGGGGAATTGATGAGAAACATAGGTGAACACATCTGGAGATGGATGGATACCTAGCAAATCATCAGGCATTGTGATTGCTGTCATAGATACATCTGATTTGTGACTCAATTGCTATTTTTTGCACTGAATTTGCACTATTTTTGCACAGCGAATTGCAGCAGGCAACCTATTATGTGCTTTCTGGGACTACACAACCACAGAAAACCTTCCCAAAGAAGAAACCTCTCCAGGGCTGCCAGCCCCAGGCAGGCCAGGGCTTGAAAGCTTGTCTGATGCCACAGGCCTGCTTCCCAGCTTGGGCTCGTGGGCAAGAGCTCTTACGGTGGTGACAAGACGGAGCAAATATAACACCTGCTTGCCAAACATAGGATCCAATCTGGTAGGGTTCAGAATAGTTATTTACACTTCAGAGTCAGTAAGAGGTCAATATGAGACCTGTCCTCCACCCCATCAGCAATTCACATTGAGCACTTGTAAATGAGACATGTTACCACTCATGAATATCAATTGTACAGACCTAGAATACAGGTGAACATTTTTTTTTTCTAATAAGGAAATCTGTTTATCAGCTCCCTCCTCATAACTCTCTCTCTTCATCTTCCAGAGGTTCTGTGGTCAACAAGCTGGGTCCTGAAGCCTCATCCTACTATAAATCAGGCACACAAGCACAGCACTCCTGAATACTCTTGCAGGACAGACACGACCTACATCCAAATGGCATTAAGATACCCTCAGAAAGGGCCCAAGGAAGCTGCTCTACCTCAGCCTCTCATGTTCTGACTTCAGCTGGGAAACAGATCTCTCTATAGTGAATAATCCCCGATTATGCATAGGAAGATACTTGTATTCTGCTAACACCTTGGCTGCRTAGGAGTGGGCACCAAGACAGAAACCTCTTCTTGTCCATCACAAAAAAGTAGGATACACTTGGAGACCCTGTTCCAATGACTTCGCAGTCTCCTTGCACAATAATAGACTCTCCAGATCATCTCAACTGCAGCAATATAGGAATATARCCAATTTGCAGGGAATTTTCTGGCAGCATCTTCTCACAAGTTTCCTTCTCCTGGACCCAGACAATCCACAGGGACCAATTTAAAGTTTTAAAGCAGGAGAGATAATGTTTTTAGCTAGAGAAATGCATTATAAATTTTGGACAGCCCCTGTAACAAAACAATATGTAGTCAGAGAGAGGGTCCCTGTAACTTTCTGTGATAGTAAATTCAATGGTGGCATATAAGAAACGAGGAGAAAGAATGAAGGAAATACACAATATCCAAAAAAATCTAGATACAAACCTAGATAACCAAAATGAATAAAGCATATGGAATAGTGAAGAACATATGGATATTAGTGAATATTAAAGGTCCACATAGGCACACTTGAGCTCTAGTTTTCACTATAATCAAGAGTAAAGCACAAAGTTACCCATAAAGATCTGAGAAGTAAGTCRTGCCTCTACAGAATATACCATGGTATGTTTAAAAATAGGAAAGCACATGAGGCCTGCATTGCTCTGCACTTTATACAAAGGCAATAAAGGGTGGAGGGGGCACACAAGCCGGGAGCGACACCCTTGTCCTGACCCACACACACACACACAGCGGAGGCCGGTGCCCCAACAGCACCACTTCCCCTGTCCTGTTGAGTTCAGTGGGAGCCGGCATGCTGCTGGCACACGTCCCATCTAGTTTAGCTCAGCTCCAAATTATTTGTGCATATAGCCCGCTTTAGGCCTATGTGCAGCAAATGAATGTCTCAATGGTCACTCCTTCCGGCACAAGTGTACAAAGAACTGCCCCCCTGTCCTCGCAGGCCTTTGCACGGAGCTGGCGCAACCCACACGTCACTCTGTGGCCACGTGCGCGCACCTCGTCCCTCTCCACATGCCCCAGCACCGCCCCCAGTGCCACCACAGCAGCTGCAGGGCCGCATCCCCTCGTGTCCTCCCCAGCCCCTCGCTGCTCCCGAACGGCCCGCTGAGGGAGCAGCGCTGCCTCCCACCGCCCAGCGGGCGCCAGGCAGCATGGCTGGCTCCCTGGGGCTGGCCGCGGCCTCCCTCCTGCCCTGTGAGTGTGACATGGCCTCCCAGCGGCAACGCAGGCTCTCGCGGTGCCCAGCCCCACTCCCTGGAGGAGTCACTCCCTGCTGGGTTAAAACATCTCCGGGCTGGCCTGGCAAGGAAAGACTGCCGGGCAGAAAGTGGGGCAGAGATGGCATCTTCTGACTGCTGCTTTTCCTCCTCCTTTGCCTCCAGGTGTGCTGTGGGCCCTTCGCTTGGATCAGGAACCAGCTTTCATCCTCAAGCCATCACAGCAGAGCAGCACAGCTGAATTTATTTGCAAAGTGACCGGTGGGAAAAGTCACACCCTCATCCACTGGTACCGATCACGGGGAGATGGGCCGCTGCAGCGGCTGATCTACCTATCCTTCACCAATCCGGACCCTCAACGGGACACCGGCGTCTCTCCTGAGAGGTTTGCAGCCTTTTTCCCCTCCTCAGGCATCTGCAAACTGCTGGTGTACAAAGTGGGAAGTGCAGATGGTGGCCGCTATTACTGTGCAGCGTGGGACTTCCCACGACTCTGCAGGCGGCTGAGGCTCTTGTGCAAGAAGCACAGGTGACAGCAGAAAAGTTCCCCCAGCCTCCTGCAAACCGATGTTTCGTCAACAGGTCCAACTGAGAAAGTATAGCTCAAGTTATTATCTTCCTAAGAAACTCAGGAGGTTTGGATTTTCTGTGTGCTGGTAGCTTCATAAGCTGCCATGCAAAGGATTTCAAGAGACAAATTTAGGTCTAGCTAACATGCTTCAATCTGACCCTTCCTCATTCAYCTACTGCATACAGTTATCAGTACTTCAGGCAGGAAGAAAACTGCTTTTCCTGTCTGAACAAAACTCAAAATCACTTTTCATCAATATCCCCTATGCATCAAAACCAGTATGGACAAAGAAATTAATACAGCTGGCATGCTTGCTGTCATATGTCTGATTCGTGACTGAATTGCTGCAATGCTAGTGTCTTAGAAGATTGCTCTGTGAAGAAGTTCCAGTCCCTAGGGAATTACAATGTAACTCAGTAAGAAGGACTGAYAAAGATTAGGAAAAGGGAGAATAATGACTCTTGTGCCTTTTAGTGAGACAATTGAGCAGTGAGAAATTTTTGGCTGGGTAACCCTGAGCATTTAGCTCTCCAGCTGAACTCACTGCAAGGGTGGACATTCCAAAATCTCTGCAGGCCGGATTTTGTAAGCTGCCTGAGATCATGCAGGGACATTGCAGCAGCACACGGTTGCAACAACTGAGGTTGGCAGTGTCCTTTTGGTGGGTTCCTTGCAAAATTGTCCCTGCTGGCAGAGACAAAGCTGTCAGTCCATGAAACTGTTCTGCAAAAGGAAGGAAATGTCTGGAGAGGCTTCCCTCCACAGGGCATGCAGTGGTGAGACCACAATTATACAGGGCTCTGCAACTTATACAGCTGAATGGACACTGCAACATTCTTTTGGGTAAAAGTAAACTTATCTGTATAAGAAGAAAAGAGTGAGGAAACGCTGTTGTSTCCATACAAAACTTCAGCACTATTTATAGATAGGGAGAATACATTGCTGTGACTGCAAACCATGAAGCAGAGGAATGACAGCAGTGACTGAGACACAACTTCGAGCAGGGTGCTAAGCCAGTCATAAACTCTAATACAAATCTATGTCCCACACAGCAGACATAGACATTTTTTCCCCCCTTCTCCATCTTTTCCATAATTAGGTTGGTAATAAGGCCACTTGTTGTGCCAGATATTAGTGGACGCTGCTTGTCAGGGTTGCTCTCTGCTGCATTTACGTAGGTATAGCCGGGTTTAAGCACTCAAATGCCTTCAGAGGTTTTCTTGTACTCTGGACACACCCCCCCACACACACCCCAACAATTGCAATGAAAAGCCCCCTCCAAAAGTTGCCCTCTCATGCACTTGCTGCACGGTGGACCTGAATCTCTCTTTTGTCTTAATCCTTTCACCAAGTCAGTAGTGAAAGTAAGAAAAATGTGATGTATATAYATCAAGCATCAGTGATGCATAAACATTGAGCTAATATATCGCTATTGTTGATCTTGTGGCTTCTCTGCTTTTACAAAATAAACTCACCTAATGTGTTTTTCCCTTTACTCACAAAGCCACTAACATTTTCCAATTCCACGAGCTTTTCACCTTAGTTTACACTGCAGTTAAGAGAAGAAACCAGCAAAATGCTGCTAAAATGCTACCTGCTGTGGACACCAAATTCTTCACCATGAAATGAACAGCCTACTTTTCTGATGCTGGAGCAGCATGTTCAGAAGACTCTTTTCTCACACTTTGGATTAGCAAAGGGGATTTTCACCTCTGGAGGGTGCTAGAGGCTTGATGGGCAGGTAGTGCTGACTACTTGACTTGCACTCATCACAAGAGCTTGCTCCTTGGCCAGATGGATCCTTCAGCCACCAGCCAGTGGAAATCAGTGAAAGAAGGTCTTACCTCAATACACATGGAAAATTGGTGTGTTCATTTTCGTACAAAAGTTGGGCAGGGCTGACCAGACACTTTGGAACTGTTCCTAGCAGGACAGAAGTCCACTTGCCGACAGACTGATTGTGGAGCAAAGCAAGCTATTGCTTTCTGCTTTGGCCACCAGCAATGCCATTAGTGCGACAAAAGGCACTATTTGCTATGGCCAGCTGGTGGGAGGTGCTTTCAGTAGAGTCTTGTGGTGTCTGAGRAGACAAGTTGGAGAACTGCCATTAGCTGTTCCAGATGACTCACTTCCTCCTCCCAGTTGCTCTGCTCTCTTTCTACCTAAAGGGCTTTACAGTGCTTCTGCTTCAAGTTCAGTTCCATGCTTAAACCCCAACAGGCAGCATGTTGCTGCTGCCAGTCCTTCTGGGAACTCCGTTTTGGTCTTGTAAGAAGTCCTTTTTTCCTTCTCCCCTTGTGCTCACGCCTGAGAAGATCATCCCTGTTCCAAAATCTGGCATCTACATCCCATCAACTAATTTCTCCACTTTCTCTTGTAGGTGCAGATGCACAAGCAACTCCGGTCCAAAGCCCAAAGATGTTGAGGAAGGTGGAGTACAGCTCTGCCACTATGACATGCAGAATAGACGCCAACACCTACATACACTGGTACCAGCAGCGTCCTGGACAGCCACTGCAGAGGATGTTGTATGTCTCAGGAGAAACACCTACATATGATCACAGTTTCCCTAGCTGGAAGTTTAAGGTTCAGAAGCATCCTAGAGAAGGCCTCTATACTCTCAAAGTAGATTATTTAAACGAAAAGGATTCTGGTGTTTATTACTGTGCCTACTGGTTCTATCTACGAGCACAACATCAGAAGAGTAAAGCTAAGCCACACAAAAAGCCATTTTTCACTCTGAACCACAAGCTCTGAACTGTGCCAAAATGCAGGTATTTCCCCGTTCCTCCACTCTCAAGCTGTTTTCTAACAAACAGTAGGATGGAAAAGCAAAGAGGTTCTAATTGCAACTTTGAAATAGGTGATGTGCACATGATAGCACTGTGATGCCCACTGAGAGCTGTAATGTCCAGAAACTGGGGAGTCCCCATGACTTTAGCGCATTATATGGAGCTCAGCTGTTCAGATGAAGACTTGGTTGTATGGACAGTATTCTCCTGGCTGTGAACACAATGTATGTGTGTGTTAACAAAAGTCTTTTGTAAAATGATTACTTCCTATCTTGTTGAGAAGCCCTCAATCATGGAGAGAAACATTTCTCCGGGTCTTCTCTATGTTGTCCTGAGAAACTGAAACAAAGAAAGAAGACCAGATGACCTTGCACATTCCCTGTCTTCTACTTCCTCCCTTATAGATTTCTCTTGTAGTTCTTTTCCTTTTACTCTCAACACTCTTCTGAAAGCATCCCTGGAAGCTTAATTTCATTGTGGAAATTCCTCCTCCAATGTGTCCAAAGAGGACCTTAATTCCCTGTCTGACAAGTGGAGAGTCCTTGGCACATCAGACCTAATTGATTCAACTGGACTTCGCCTTTAAAATGATATAGAGGTTTTCTGATGTTAAAACAGTATGCTTGGAAAATTCTTTTTGCGCTCTTTGGAATGGTTCTTGTTCTGGTGAGCCCTTCTTTACTCAACATGCATGCTTGGGTCTTCAACAGGTGGATCCTTTCTTATTCAGAATATTCTTTTCTCACACTTTGGGTTAACAAACCTGAAGATTTTCACCTCTGGAGCATGCTGCGGCCCTGATGGGCATTTATTGGTGCCTACCTCCTGATTTGCTTTCAGTGTGACTGCTCGGTCCTTGGCCAGATGGATCAAGAACCACAACCAGTGGAAATCAGTGGAAGAAAGCCTTACATGGTTAGGCCTTTTATTCAGCCTAGGAACAGCCACAGTGCTTTGCAGTACTTGCTTTGGCTCCTGCTAGAGGGGAAGTCACTGGCTTTGCTATTTGAAGCTCTCCAGAAAGAGCAGCATTGATTGCTGAATTCAACAGGCTGCTCGGGGTGCACATGAATGGTAGAAGGATGGGCCATGAATGCCTTCAGGTGGGTTGTTACCTCCAAGCACCTCCTTTGAGAGGGTTGTTTSTTACTTTTCAGTGTCTATTTCTCCCATTTCTGCTTAGGTACTGGGCTCTGCCTTCCCTACCCACATTTGAGAACTGCTGCTCTGGGGTGGTGGCATTTCAACCCAAGGGAGGATTAAGAGCCACTTGTGGGTCAGCACCAAGAGGGGGGCAGCCGGCAAAGCTGTGGGAAACACAGCTCTGCGTGGGTAAGACCATGTCCTTCCCTGAGGAGGCAGCAGTGTCCCCTGCCCTGACAAGTGGTGAAAATTCTCCTGTGTTTGTTTTGGGGATAAAGCCATGTAAGGTCGGTCCTGTCCCCTAGAAAAGCTGTCAGTTTTGCCAAGGAAAAGGCCAGCTTCAGAGTTAAATGTTGTGGCCTACGAGAAGATCACTAGAATACAATCCTCATGTTCACATCATTCTTATGAATAATTTCCAGGAATTACTGAACAAATGAATGTGTTTAGAGCCTCTTCACTGTTGTTTTGATACATCTGTGAACAAGGCAGAAACCACCACTGTACTGACAACTTAAGGCTTCCAAGCTAAAATGAGAAAAAATAGAACTTTTCTTTCAATTCCTTGCATTGCATAGCCCTGAACATGCAGAATTCTTCATGCAGCCTCAGAAAAACTTGGTGATAGCTCTGGTATCGGTAAAGTATCCTTCTAAAGCTGTTTTTTTCAGGCATTCTGCATGAGGAAGCAACTGGAAATAAGATATAAGTAAGCCGTGGGAAGGGCCCACTAGCAGGTGCTCACATCCCAAAGCAGAGCTTCTTTTTTCGGTGATACTCCATCTTAAAAGATCTTAAAAATGGCTCTCAGGCAGCTTTGAGAACACGAGGGAGGGCAGGCCACAAAAGAACGAGGGAAGGAAGGCCACAAATGAGTGTATTACTGGTGATGTCCTGCAGATGTCAGGTGAGGAGTACGGCTGCACAGGGACCCAATGGGCATGTCACAAGGCGATTTCATGCTTTGCTGTAGCTGGAGCAGCCTGAAAAATCAGCTGGAGCAGCCTGAAAAAAAAAGGCAAGCTGCCTTGGGCAGTGCTGTTCATAGGCAGGAGCTGGAGGAGAGCAACTGTGCCCTGTGGTAGGTGGGGACGTTGAGCAGAGCTGCCTCCGGTGCCTGGGACAGAGCCACTTGCTTGCTCTCCTTGAGCAGCAGCTGCCTAGCTGGGGACAGATCCTTCTGCTGGCCACTTCTGCACGGCACCTGCACGTCATTCAACGTCCATGTGGCTGCTGCAGGTCTTTCTGGCAGCTGCAGCCCTCTGCTCGGGTGAGTTGTGCGTGTGAGTTGTGGGTGCCGTGAGGGTCGCACTCCRTGCCAATGCCAGGCCTGCAGGCACTGCTGCCAGGACAGTGTTGTTCTCTGCTTCTCTTCACAGATGCAGCTGCACAAAGGCTCACTCAGCCAAGGCCTTCCACAAGCAGCAGAGTGATGGCAACTGCACGAATTGACTGCCGGTTTTCGGGCTCAAACTTTCAGAATGTGGCCATCCACTGGTACCAACAGAAACCCGGTGAAGCTCCAAAGCGCATTTTGTATGTGGTAACAGGAACCCCTGTAATTGATGACCAGGCCAATCAAGACCTTTTTTATGTAGAGAAGAAGGCTTTGACTCTCACCACTACTCTGACAATAAGACGAGTAACAAAGCAGCACGAGGCAACCTATTACTGTGCTTTCTGGGACGACACAACCACAGAAAACCTTTCCACAGCCTATACAGAAACCTCTTGAGGGCTGTCAGCCACAGGAGGCCGGGGTTTGAGACCTCGCCTGGTGGTGACAAGATGTGGCAAATAACACCTGCCTGCTGTTTGGCTGTTTGAGGCCTCTAACCCATGTGCTGTTTATGTTAAGTAACAGGCCCATGAATACTGATTCAATTGGATGGAGCTAAGAGACGTTATTTCTACCCCTCCAATGGGCTTTGCCACCACTAGATTCTGGTGCTGAGGTTGCTTCAGTGAGACTTGAAGGAGGGCAGTGAGAATGTGGCTGCTGAGGGTGGTTATCCTTGTTGGTGTTTTTTCTTGTAAGCTCCCTGCTCACCCTCCTTCTTGCATGCTCTTCTGTGGCAAAAAGGGAAGATCTGTTTTTCTGTTTCACATTTCCATTTTCTTTCCTTTGTTCTGTGTAGGTGTCTCGGCACAAGCCTTGCAGCAATCTCCAATATCCATCACCAAGCCAGAAAGCAAAACAGTGCTCATCAACTGCCACGTGTCAGCTCCTGACTTTGTCACTACGTTTATCCACTGGTACCGAAAGAGGGTGAATGCCGCTCCTGAGCGCATTGCCTACGTGTCAACCAGGCTCTTCCTTGAAAATAACTCCGATGATGGGAAGTTCAGCATCGAAAAGGACCTCTCCCGATTTGTCTGCACCCTGACAGTCAACAAAGTAACACCACAAGACGCTGCTACCTACTACTGTGCTAGATGGGATGCACAGCAGTCAAAAGCCAAAGACAACCTGCGCAAAGACTGTTTCTTTAAGTACCCTGAAATATTTGAAAGCATGTGGGCACATTCGCAGTCATTCACCATCAAGTTCCAGTGAGACACAGCTGTTTCATTTTGATAGCAAAAAGTGAGTTTTCATAGGTATGGCTGGATTGTCTCCGGGAATGGTTTCAGGATTCTCTGTGTGTGTTTGTATGTGTGCATGTGTGTGTGTGTGAAGGAGTGAGTGAAAAGAGATGCAGCTTGTGTAAAATCCCTAATTAGATTATTAAATTTGTCAGTGTTGAATCACATTCTATCTTAAAATGCCCCCTGGTGCCAGGGGACCCTGTAGGATGACATTGAAATGAGTCACTTCCTTTCCTGGGCCACCAGCAAGGAGAGTACTCATATTTCTGCTGCAACAGCAAGAAGCAGGAGCCCTCAGGATGCTGCTGCTCCCAGTCCTGGTCCTGGCTTCAGCCTGGTCTTGTATGTCCCTTTTCTTACAATGGGGCTTCAGGGAACAGCATCAAGAAGTGCTTTGTATTTACATGCAGGAATGAAGAGCCAGGTCAAAGCATTTGTTCTCTTTTTATTTTTCTTCTTTTCTTTCTAGATGCAGAGACACAAGTACTTCTGAAACAACTGAAGACATCTATTTCTAGAGCAAAGGCCAAAACAGCTTATATTGACTGTATAGCTGAGGGCATAAACAACTTTGAGACTGCTTATATGCACTGGTACCGGCATATTCCTCCCAAAGGTCCTGAATGGCTTCTGTTTATCAAATCGGCAAGGGATATAAGTTATAATCAGGAATCCTATAWGAGAAAATATTCCGTTAGTAAGAAAAGAAACAATGTCTGTACTCTCTCAGTAAATGACATAAATCTTAGTGATGAAGGCACCTACTACTGTGCCTACTGGGAGTCTCACAGAATTAGCAGACCATTGATAGCCTGTGCCAAAAGTCAGTTAACTCGATGCTTATGAGGCTTTCTACTTCTTTTGTAGCAGGCACGTCTACACAAAAGCACCTGACACAAATTTCTGCATCTAACACAAGGAAAAGTTACAGAAAAGAATTTACTGTACTATGGCTGGCATGAACTTTAGCAGTGCACAGTGCTATCGAGAAAGACCAGAAGAAGATACAGAGGAGATTCTTTTGGATCAGAAGATCAGCAATCAGATTCTGGTGAAAAAAAGAAGTTTTTTGTTGAGAGTTCTTCTAAAAACTGCGATGTTGAATGCTTTTATACAAAACAACTTTTCAGCAGTAGGATAGGTAATTGGTTTAAAAGTGTATCCTTCTATATCCATTAGCATTGAGACATGCAGCACTTTCTCTATTACATGAACAAAACCAATGCTCCTGGTAAGGACTGACCAAGAATGTGGTAATTGCAACAAGCCAGAAGAGTTTCAGGAACGAATTTGTAGGAAAAGATAAAAGCAACAGTATGTCTTTCAAGGTGGTCCTGAGCCCACAGCCAAATATAATGTTGCTAATGATTACAGTAAAGCAGGTTCCTGCTAATAGCATCTGTGTTTTTCAAGAGCAGTCAAATCAGACCTAACCTTGCTCCTACTTAAGTTGATGAAATTCTTCCTTCCTTCCTTCCTTCCTTCCTTCCTTCCTTCCTTCCTTCCTTCCTTCCTTCCTTCCTTCCTTCCTTCCTTCCTTCCTTCCTTCCTT